CAGGCATGCATTGTTGGGGTCAGGCAGCTCTTAAATCCAATGCTTTTCCTGTAAGTGCTTTGAAGTCTGACTTTGCCCATGGAACTTTCCAGTGTGGTTTTTCATCTAGAGAAGGAGTTCTGTTTTGTTTTTTTTGTTTTGTTTTGTTTTATTTTTTCCGGTACTGGGGATTGAACTTACGACCTTGTGCTTGCCAGGCAGGCGCTGTGCCGCTGAGCTAAATCCCCAGCCCCATAGAGGAGTGGCAGCTCTTAGTGCACATGCTTATAGGAAAGAGGCAGTTTTAATTACAACCTTGAGTGATTTAAGGACAGACTGAAGGAGAGAAGGATGATTTGTGGCAAGGAAAGTGATAGAAAAAGTTTTAGATTTTATCATTTCAAGTCTGTTTTCTTGCCTGGAGACCTCGATGAAGAAAAGTGTTGGGAGTTGATGAATTAAATGCAGTCCTCTGTTGATTGCCTACTGTGCTGGGGCACACACATCCTGTGCTGGAGTGCACATATGCAGATGGGTGGGTTCTGGCCAGCCTCTGGGACATTTGTAGTCCAGTAGCGCTGGAGGCGGGGGGGGGGGCATGGACACATGCATATATCATTAATGCAACATGTGATGCATAACTAATTCAGACTGAGTCTTACTGAGGGTGGGTAGGCATCATTTCATACTAGGTTTTCATTTGAACTAGATATTAAAAAGGAGGAGGATAGCGCATTACAAAGGCTTGGTGAAAAACTACAGTGTTTTTGCTAGAGCAGAAACTTTGTGTTACAATATTGAACATTTCTTTAGGCATTGAAAGTTTTTGACATGAAAGTGCCATGATCAGACTCTTGATACAGCATTGTTAAGTGGGGTAGAGGAGAGATGACAGCATTATTAGGTGGAGGCAGTTAAATAGCTGTTCTCAGCATAGGCAAGAGAATATTGGAGTGAAGGAAGGAGGTGTGAAGCATGAGGTGTTTGTATAAGGCAGTGCCACCTGAGTGGAGGATGGCTAGGGCTCAGTGACAGGGGGGGCCTAAGGGAGGGGACGCTAGTACCAAGCCTGCGGAGAGGCCTCTGCATCTCAGGAAAGGTGTGCTCCCAGCCTCCTAGCATGCCATATAGCCAGGCCTGCTTGCCTGCAGAATTGAGAATGGGGAGTTGGCACTTATGTGAACCAGGAGAAAGTTGACAGCAGCTGTGTGGACATTACAGGTGAAGCAAAGAGAGAAGAGAGCTTTGAATGATGGAGTCTGCTTGGGTAATGGAGCTGATGGTTGATCAAATCTGCCTTTCACGTTTATTTGTTGTGTAGTTTAGGAGGGCTTTGAACTCATTATGTAGCTCAGGCTGGCTTCAAATTCAGGATGATCTTACTGCCTCAGCCTCTCTAGTGCTGAGTTTGTAGGCGTGCACCACTTTGCTGGGCATAAGCCTGGCTTTTTAAAAGTCTAGGTCTTTAGTTGAATCTAGTCCACAGGAAAATGCAGTGGAGGATAAGAAGGAAAGGGAGGTTCCTGCTGAAATTACTTTTTCTGAGACTGTTAGTTCTTACTCTTGATTATGGTAAACTGTGGTCTTCAACAGAATGAATAACTAGCAGAGTGCTCCATGGAAGAAGCACCTGCATTGCCCCTGCCAAGGTCTCTGTTCAGTTTAATGTTACCTACTATAAGAGTGCAGTGTTAGGGGCCCGGCTGGCACTCCATCAGGAACAGCAGTAGCTTTCCTACATCTCATTGAGTGGAAGACCGCTGCACGGCCAGCTGCAGTCTGGGATTGCTGACAGGAAGAGGAGATGCTATCGAAAGAAAATGGCTTTTCCATCTGGACCTGAAATAAGGGCCCTACATAGAATTTTTTCATTCTTATATTTTGCCAGATATGTCATCCAGCTGAGTTCATTTCATCTCTCTTTCATATCAAATTTGAATTTGGGAAAATTTTTGTATGATTATGTGCAGTTTATCAAAACAATTGAGAAAAACAGATTACAGTGTTATTGCTCAAAATAACATCAATCTATTTTTGTAAACTTCTTCATACTATTAAAGTTTGCCCTAAAAGACCCCTTAAAAAAAATACGAGTGCAGTGTTGTTAATTCCCTAAACTGTTTCTTTTCTGGGAAAGCTGAAAAGGAATAATTAATCCAATATTGAATAACCTTGCAAATGGCAACTCAGATCAGGGGAAAATAAGATTTTTAGGACGAAATAAACTCTGAACCAAGTATTCTTAATTTTATTCTAAATATCTGAAAACTATTTCTTGAAGTGACAGCTCAGAGAAGCCAACTGTGTAGTCACCAGGCATTGCTACCTTGGGCTTGTTTGTGATATGGTGTAAAATGTTTTTGGTCTTTGTGCCCAGTTCCTGCACAGAGCTCCTAAAACCCTAGGAATTTTCCAAGAGATTGTAATGTCTTCTTCACAATGAGTCCCTTTGAGCACACCTGACTTTATGCTAATGTAATGACATGGCTAGATACCAGGTCGCCTCAGGATGGGCCTGGTCACCAGAAAGGCTGAATGATTAGAAGGCTGGGATTTTCAGCTCGTTGCCCAACCTCTGGGAAATTAACAGCTAGAGTTTAAAATCTGTGGGACTCCATAAAACTCTTGAGTGAGATTTGATTAACTGGGTTTGTGGAGGGTGGTGTGCCCACAAAGGGCCTGGAACCTGCGCTTACCCACCACAGTACCTGCCTTCTGTACTGTCTTCTGGCTTGCCCTGAGGCATGTCATTTATAATAAATCATAAATGTAAGTGAAATTTGTTTCCCTGAGTTCTGCAAGACATTCTAGAAAATAATCATGTCCAAGGAGGTGGTTGTGGGAACAGCCAATCATAAGCAGCAACTTGTGATTGGTGGCTTTGTGGGATTGTGTTATAGCACTGAGCCGTTAACCTGTGGGCTCTTCAGCTGTCTCCATGCAGATAGTTTCACAGCTGAGTTGAAGGGGAACACTCATCTGGTGTCCAAGGAAGTTTTACTTGATATATGTATGTTTCCCTCCATATCTGGTATCCAAAGTGTGGTTCGCAAATAGCATGGAGAAAAAGAAGTGTGTCTTCCCAGGCCCTCTCCTTTGCCTTCATTAGGGTGAGTGTAATCCATTTCCTCAGCAGGCCATACCTGAGCTTACCTGTTGTCCTTTACCCTCGTGACTTTGGATGGTGTTTTTTTTAATGCAGAATCATTTTGTAATATCCTGAAATTTGAAAAGAAGGTCAGAGAGGATGAGATACAACTACTAAGCCGGAAGCCAAGGAATGTCTGCTATTCCTGTGTTCCAGAGCTACAAGAAGCTCAGGAGAGCCCATCCAATTAAATCAGCAGCTCACAGTGGCCCTCAGTTTTGCATAGTGAAGCATTCTTTCAGCTTGTATGCTCATCCTCAAGGGGCCTGATTTTCATATGTCACTCATCTATTGAAATCTAACTTGAGAGATGTGTGCATTGTCAGTATGGAATCAAGTACTATATTTCTCTCTAAAATTGTTCTTATAATACCAGTGCAGGTGAACCCCTAATGTTGGGTGAGTGACCTGTGTCTCCATATGCCCCGGTTTATTATAAATTCTTGTCCTTTTCACCTTGTTACTAACTCCAGAAAACCAAGTGGAATTTTATTTTAAGAATTATATTAACTTTTTTCTCTAAAAAAGATCATACAGTGAGCCAAAAGACATCAACAACAAGACCTCTGAACTATGGAAAATAGATTAAATGAGTTTTCTTGTGTTTGACCCTTCTTTGAGTAGATGACTCTGAGCTACTGTTTTTTTTCTAGACAATGGCATTTGAAGAAGTTTCCAGATGAGGTCATTCCCTGATTAAACTCAGCCCTGCTTTTGGCTTTGCTAGACCTCGGAAAGCAGTCTCACTGATACATTAGGCTCTTAACAGCAGGATCTACCTCAGATGCCTGGGGCCACTTTGCTGATGCATTTTGCTGTGTCATGGCTTGAATAGGGTTTCCCACCTTGCATAACTGGACACAGAAGTTTGAAAAGATATCTTTTCAAATCTCTGCTATTTCCTGGACTTGCTGTGAGTTTTTTGTTTGTTTTGTTTTTTGGTGGTGGCATGGGAATGGAACCCAGGGCCAACTACACGCTGGGCAAACACTTTAGTCGAGAGCTACACCTTTGCCCTTCTTGATTCATTGGCACAGCTTTGTGTTTGGTGCTAGCATTCCAGTGGGGAGTGAGTGAACTAGCTTGATGGTAGTGAAGGACCCAGCTTCTGGCTCCCATTTACTTCAGTTTGGAGGGTTTTAATGAGGTAGAGAGCTCCCAAGAACACCTTTCTTTCTCCTGCTCTTCTAGAGCCCATGGATTTTAGTTACCATGCCGTGCACTTTCAAGTTTTGTCGTGTATACAATATCCTTTGACCTTTCAAAGTAGGAGGTTGAGATACTGTCTTGTCCTGGTTTTTTTTTAGATAAAGAGACTTAAGATTCTGAGATTTGGGTTAAATTGTCTAAGGAACGTAGCTAGTGAGTATTAAACTTGGAAATTGAACATGGATTTTTCGAAATCTCCAAATAGAGTTTTTTTCCCCTCTAATGCTTTGAAGCCAGTCCTAGACTTACGTTAAAGTTCTGAGTTATTTCTGTTAACTGTCTAGACATACATTAACTTTTTCTCCTCTCAAAAACTAAAATGACTGCTTTCTTGGAATAATTTGGTGATGGGTAGAGATAGCGTCAGAGAGGGGGCAGTGGTTGGAAGATGTGTTGTATGATATTGCCATTTGTACAGAGTTCCTTAAGTGTCACAGACAGAGATTAGGGCAGTGAGAAGGAAGGCTGGGCATTAACTTTCTGGGCTGTGTGAGTTTTCCAGCCTGGGCCCTAGTTATCCAGAGGGCTTCTTTGGGGCACGTGTATCCCTTTGGCATAGATGGCTTGACAGATATGGCCCCAGGTGATTGGGATTTGGGCTCACAGGTGGAATTCTGAGCAGGATCTCATTCTTGTTCCTGTGCGTTTGCCTTTTCCTCCTCAGTGGGCTACCTTGAGGATGGAAAGAGGAGCCAAGGAGAAGAACCACCAGCTTTACAAGCCTTACACCAATGGTAAGACTGGGTCTTCATCTGAGCCTAAAGGAGTCTTTCGAAATATATATTCATTTTGTAGTGCTTTTATTTGCATGCTGTCTTAGTCTATTTCCTGTTGCTAAGGTGGATACCTTAGAGAAAAAAATTTTTTTAGGCTCGCAGTTCTGGTGGGTAGAAGATCCAGATAGCATGGTACTAACAAGGGGCCCTGGCTGCATCATACTGTGGCAGATGACATCATCACAGGAGCATGTGGGAGGAAAAAAGGGAAGGTGGGGTAGGTCACACAGTAAGAGAGTAGGGAGAGACCAGGCTTTTTTATAAAACCACCTGATCTTAGGGGAACCTGTCCACTCCTGCAGACCTATCCCACTTGAATGGCCAATGTTTTTGCCTTCACTAGGGCAGCGTCCTGTGACCCAATCTCTTTCCACTAGCATCCACCACTCAGAGTTACTGCATCTCTATACCATTATACTGGGGACCAGGCTTCCAGCTACTGAACCTCTGGGGTACACACTCAAACCATACCCAAACCATAGCATGCACATACCCTAAACACTGCTAACCCAGGCTATGTGTCCTATTTTCTACATGTTCTTTCCCAGCATGTTGTTTGACAGGGATATTCTCTTTTGCAGGAATCATTGCAAAAGATCCCACTTCACTAGAAGAAGAAATCAAAGAAATTCGTCGAAGTGGTAGTAGTAAGGCTCTGGATAATACTCCAGAGTTTGAGCTCTCTGACATTTTCTACTTTTGCCGGAAAGGAATGGAGACCATTATGGATGATGAGGTGACAAAGAGATTCTCAGCAGAAGAACTGGAATCCTGGAACCTACTCAGCAGAACCAATTACAACTTCCAGTACATCAGCCTTCGGCTAACTGTCTTGTGGGGGTTAGGAGTGCTGATTCGGTACTGTTTCCTTCTCCCACTCAGGTGAGGACTGGGCCTGGTGTGGACAAAAAGTGTATGTGTTCTGCCCAAGCCCAAGGCATGAACTGTCTGACTATCAGGCACCTCCTCGCATGCTGTGTTTTTGTGTTTCCCCATTTTAGAAAGGTAGTGTGGCTCTTTACTGGCCATTCCATCTGACTCTTAGAAGGATGCCCTGGTGATTATGCTTTCTTTGAAGCCCCCTAGAATTCTCTGCATATCAGACCAAAATAGTTGGATTTCTTAAAGACCTTTTAGTTGTATAAATGAGCTAAACACAAGGACAGGGAACGTCATGTACTTCTGGCTACTCATCCTGGCATGGCCTCCTTCCTCAAGCTTGCCTCTCAAATACAGAGGCAATATTGACCTCTCGTTATTCTGCCATGTGTTGTTCTCTGTGTGTCCTGCCAGGTGCTGCTACCTTCAGGCTCTGTCTTCTGTTGCTTCTCAGAGTGTCTTCACTTCTGCCAGGGGCTGATGCCAAAGGGAAGGGCTCTACAGCAGGATGGGGGTGGGTTTTCAAAGGAGCAGCCAACCCCTGTGTGTACAACACAGCCAGCATTAAGGCTTTTCTGCTGTGGCTGCTTGATGCTGGAAGACCTGGTGTCAGCTGGGAGCCTGAGCGATCACTCGCTGTCCTTTGGAATCCAGTGATCGCTGGTTCTGATAGGCCTGCTCCCGGTCCAGGGTGAAACTCTTGTCCAGCTCTCAGGAGATTGCTTTGTGAGGGGTGGTGTTCATAATCCTTGCTTCATTTTTGTACACTGACTTGTATACTTGGATTGCTTTAATGTGTTTTAACTTGTCTTCTTACAGGATAGCTCTGGCATTCACAGGGATTAGCCTTCTGGTGGTGGGCACAACCTTGGTGGGATACTTGCCGAACGGGAGGTAAGTAGAGCACAGGTGTCTGTGTGGAGCGCAGTTCCTTCTGGAAAGGTAACTTGAGTTGAAGGCTAGGCTGCCCCTTTGAATACCAACCAAAGCCACAGCATTTTAGTTGACTCGAAGGTAAGAGCAGCATCAGGGATCAAGGCTCATTTTGTGACGTATCTTGGTCTATGACTACTCTTTTTGCCCTCCAGCCTTCACATTCTTTCCATTTTTAAAGACCAAAAGTCAGAAACCATGAAAATATAGAATCCAGGGCCCAGATGTTAACAAATTTTATTTTATTTTTCTGTTTTTGTTTTTTGAGACAAGAGTCTCATTATGCATTGCAGGCTGGCCTGGAACTCACAGCCATCTTCCTTGTCAGTGTCCCGAACAGTAGTGGGATTACAGCCATGTGCCCCCAAGCCTGGCAAGATGTTAACAGATTTTAACATACTTGGTTTTGTACATTCTGCTAGGTTGGTAAATTGTGAAGGAAGAGTAAAAGTACTGTGGAATGTAGGTGGGTTGTGCCTTTTTTTGTTGTTGTTGTTAAAGGAAACTTTGCTCCCTTGGGCCAGCAGACCTCTGCAATGCTGGCATTGCTGAGGAGGCTTGACTGTGGCCTGGCCTGCTGTGGGCTGCCTTGCAGGTAGCAATCTAGGAATCTAGCTTTCCTGTGTGGGGAGTTCTAGGGCTGCAGATTCTCAGCCATTGACTTAGGTGAGCAAATGTCATCTCATTGCTACTTCTTTTTTTCCTGATTGTGAACATAAAAATACTTACATATCACAGTGTTTTACTATATGCATGCATACTTGTAAAAGCACTGTGTTGCAGACTGCTCCATGGTTGGAGTCAGCAACATGTCCTGTCTTTATATGTAAAACAAAATCCCAAACGCGCCCCTGTTGTTGCAGGTTTAAGGAGTTTTTGAGTAAACACGTTCACCTAATGTGTTACCGGATTTGTGTGCGAGCCCTGACCGCCATCATTACCTACCATGACAGGTGAGGGAGCTTAACGATGCTGTAGAGTGAGGTGGGCTGGCCAGAGCACCACCCACCTGCTTGGCCCAGTGGGAAGCAGCAACAGAACTGAGCTGTGGAAGCACCTGTGCTCGCAGACATGTTCCAAGTGAATTGTTTCACACTAGTTTTTGTTGCCTACAAATACTGTTGCTTACAAGTTTTATTTTATACCAGGAAGAACAGACCAAGAAATGGTGGCATCTGTGTGGCTAACCATACATCTCCTATTGACGTTATCATTTTAGCCAGTGACGGCTATTACGCCATGGTGAGTGTTTGTTTTCTTGAGGTAGGACTTCCTACATTAGGCCAGGAGGCTTCTGGACCTTTCACAAAACACTTTTAAGGGTATAAGCATGTGAACATGCTTTTTATATGTGTGCCCAGACATAGCATGTTGCCTTGGGAGCAACTTGTACTTAAATAGGAGACGTGCTAAGCAGACTTGAGAGCAAGGTGGGAGACGAAGGGGCAAATCTCAGTTGCCCCTTGGACTGTGAAGGTTCGGGAAATGGAGAGGGCTACAGCCAGGACTGGACTGGAGTGTGAGAAGTCACCCAGGGAGGGGCGTTTTATTTAAGGAATCACTTTTGTGTTAGGGTTTTCAGTTGTTTTTATATGTCTGGGTTGGTTACTATTAAAAGAGAAATTTAGGGTTTGGGGAATCTAATTGTGGTTTCCTGATAATGGGAACCGTGCAGCTGAGACCTGTTTGACAGTGAGGCATCAAGGTGCATATTTTGTGGGATCTGGGGGATTTGTGTGAGATGGCTTCACTACTAATTATTGTCCTGTCTGAGACTAGGTGGGTCAAGTGCATGGAGGACTCATGGGTGTGATTCAGAGAGCCATGGTGAAGGCCTGCCCCCACGTCTGGTTTGAGCGGTCTGAAGTGAAAGACCGCCACCTGGTGGCTAAGAGGTAAATGGACAAGGTGCTCTTCTGTTTGCCCAGTTCCAACATAAGCAGAAAACGTACTTTAGGGATCATTAGAATTAGAATGCTGTCTACATTGAGCCTATACTGTTCTTGTAATACATTTTCCCCAAAACATGGAATATAAATAGAAGCCTGAGTATTATTTACCTACTTAGTAATGTTTCATTGTACCCATTCCAGCAAATATGAACTTCCATTACTATTAGAAATCTCAAAGTGAAAAAAAAGTAAAAAAAATTTCACATTGATTCATTATCACAAATAAAGGCCAGCATAAGGCAGTGGAGCAAAATGCTGCTCTGTTCTTATTTCCAGTGTGAACAGTGCAGAAAGCTTTACAGTAGACAGAAAGGTATCAGACTCGGTTGAGACCATCTTCTATACAGACTGGGGAACCCCCACTAAATTCATTTTGGTTCAGGGGCAGAGTTTCGAGCCAGGAGACACTGGAGGTCCATCAGTCTGTTTTCTACAACTATGGCAATATCTGAAGCTGATTAATTTATAAAGAAAATCTGTTTGGGTTCACAGTTCTGAAGGCTGGGAAGTCTAACATCGGGCAGCCATATCCGGCAAGGCCCTTGTGCTTTGTCATAACATAGCAGAAGGGCAAGCACATGTGTGCAGAAGAAATAAAACAGCTGCACATGGTGATGTACACCATGTTTAGTACCAGCTACTCAGGAAGCTAAGAAAAGAGCATCACAAGTTTGAGCCTAGCCTGGTCAACTTGGCAAGATCCTGTCTCATAATAAAAAGAGCTAGGGATAGCTCATTGGTAGAGTGCTCGCCTGCCATGCATGGAGCCCTGGGTTCAGTCCCCAGTACAGTCAGTCAGTTCATCAAGGGCTGCCTTGCTTAATAACAGTTCATTCTTGAGGTAACATACAGTGCCATGGAAACTACCTTAATCTTTCTTACTGACCTAATCACCACTTGAAGACTCCATCCCCCACTACTACCATAATGACTATTAAATTTCATCGTGAGATTCTGAGAGAACAGAACACAGCAAGGTCCAGCTTAGTGCAGTTGCTCAGCGGCCAGCCACAAAGGCTTGTTAATGGTTTTGTGTGTGAGGTCATATGGCGGCTGCCTCCTTCAGAGAGTACCAGTTCTGAGCAGTGTCCTCTGTACAGACTAACATTCGTGATAGGGCTGTTACTTGTATGTCTCGCTGCCAGGTGGCTCTGATTTGAACATGTTACTTTTCTGCCGGCTGGAATCACGTACATGAATGACCGTCCCACTGGGCAGCATGGGACAGTCCCATTGGGTGGCATAGCTGTCAAATCGGATAGTCATGCATATGCCACCGGTGGGTTAAGCCAGCAGGAACATATTAATGCTGAATTGAACAATTATGTGAATTAAGTGGGGGCCATATAGTTTTCTCTGCCCTTACTACTTTTTTTCTTTATGAACTTCAGATTGTGCATTTCTAAAGGACACAGATTTGTTAACTTGCTTTTACCCGTCTAAACAAGTGTCACATATATAAATGCACTTTGATGATAGGGAACATAAGGTTGTCTGACCATCCATTTTATTTTTTTCTTTTGAAGACTGACTGAACATGTGCAAGATAAAAGCAAGCTGCCTATCCTCATCTTTCCAGAAGGTAAGAGCCTCTGGGTGGGGGGGCCAAGTCCCTAAGCCCTTGTTGGGGTTCTCTTGTACACTGAGTCATGTTAAGTCCCCTTCACATCAGCTGTAGGACTATTGGGAGATTGAGAACTTGGGTGCAGAGTTGATAGTGTGAGCTCCAGCAGCAGTCCCTTCTTTGGCTCTGCTGGCGACAAGCCTCTCAATTTTCTGTGAGGCTCTCCCCAGTCCTCCCAAGTCCAGCCGGGGTCCCTGGCCCTCACCTGGGTTGGTATGTGTCAGTCAGGAAAGTGGCATGGAAAAAGAGAAGAGGAAGAGGGACTGCATTTGCCATCTTTAAGTGTTATTAGTAAGTTAGGGTGGTGACAGGTTTATCCCATTTGAGGAGCCACTCGGTGTTTTTATTGTTTAATGTTAAAGAAATTCCTACTATCTGGGATAAGGATCAGAAAGAAACAGCATTTTGCTCTTTCCTGTATTTTAGGTACCTGCATCAATAACACATCAGTGATGATGTTTAAAAAGGGAAGTTTTGAAATTGGAGCCACAGTTTATCCAGTTGCTATCAAGGTACAGGACCTCTGAGGATACACACTATTGTCCTGATCATGGCTGAGGAGAATGGGGTGCAGCAGTTGAGTGGCTGCTCCTGCAGCGGTGCCCTGGGGCTGGACCGCCAGGGCCTATGTCTGGGGAGAGGAGAGCTAAAGGCTGTAGCTCTATGTGGGAGGCCTGGGCAAAGTTTAGAAGGGGAGCAGCCAGGTGCCCACCTGCCGCCAGATTTGGGAAGTGGCGTACCCCTCCTGAGCTCTGCCTTTATTACTCCCTGTGCCACCAGCTAGGTTCATCATGGAGAGGAGAAGGGAGGGTGATGGGCCTCATCGTGGTGTTGTAGGGCAGGCAGCCCATGGCATGGAGCGGGACCTCTGAACTGCTCCCTTCGGTCCCTGCCCTTCAGAAACTTGTCCTCCTCCCCCTCAAGCTCCCTGGAGACCAGTCAGCTGTACTGCTTCCCTCCTCCTCCTCCTCAGCCCATCCCATCCATCTAGTTTCGTTGTGGATTCATATGATATCTGGAAGGACCAGGCCTCACTCTCACTCAGACTTGTCAGTCAGGTTAAAGTACCTGGGCCGAAGTCTCAGGCAGGGCACACAGCAGACACACTTCCTGTCCTTTCACAAGGGCCTGCTTGCTGCATGCAGAGCACCTGTGGAGATGTCTGCACTGTGTGTCACCTTGCTGTGCAGTTTGACAGTGAGGGTTCCTCCTGGTTAGGCCGCCCTCCTTTCATCAGTTTGGCAGAGAACCAAGTTGAAGATAGCAAGCAAGAATCAACTGCAGGCTAACAGATGGTTGGTGAGGTCTGCCAGAACTGTGGAGGATGGTGCGTCAGGCAACAGGAAACATTAATAGGGTCTCCAGGGATGTGGGCTTGGGAGTGACATGTGATCCTGAATGCAGTTTTGCATTCTCGTGTAATGCAGGCCGGTTATTTCCCTGCAGGTACTGGTCACCTTGTTGGATACATGAGGGGAGGTTCATCTTGACTCAGAGTCTGTGGTGGGCTTACTCAAAGAGAGAAACATGATGGTGGAGGAAAGCTGCTCACCTGATGGCAACCCAGAAGCAGAGTGAGACAGAAAGCCAAAGAGAGAGTCAGGGACAAGAACATCCCCTTCCAGGTTACACTCGCATGGCCTGCTTCCTCCAGCCAGGCCCCACCTCAGAAGAGCACATTCAGCTTCCACACTCCTCACCTTCTCAAAGGCCGGTGAGCCTGGGCCCAGGCCATAACTCTGCATGAGTTTGGGTGCTGCTGGAGGGCAGCCCTCTGTTCCTGCAGAGTGCAGATTGTCATGCCCAGGGCACCAGTCTGCCACAGCATCCCCATTGTCACTGCAGCTAGTTAGGGGCAGCCCCCGCCGAGGAGTGTGTTTCCTACCCACTACTAGGACATGGACCCTGTGGGGGGCTCCCCTCCAAAGTAAAAGGCCTATAAAATTCACATTAGTTTTTATTCAGAGTGGAGCCCATGCATCCGTGGTTAAGAGCTCATGCTCTGCAGATGCTTCTGTAATGTGGGGACACCTGTATTGGTAGCTGAACTTGGATAGCCTTAGTAACAGCAAAGCTCTTAACTGCATCTCCATCAAACTTCAGTCACTGTCGGATTTTGAGGAACATATTGTTACTTTGAGCATTTACCTTGTTTTTACGTTTAATGTCTGCCCTGTGTAGAAGACAGAATTAGCCCTCAACAAAGCACCCTCACTTACAGCACCAAAATTTCTATTCAGATCATGGCTCGTAAAGTATAACACCATTTTCTTTTTATTTTATTGAGGAAGGATCTTGCCATGCTGCTCATAATAGCTTCAACTCATGGGCTGAAGTCCTTCAGCCTTAGCCTCCTAGGTTGCTGGGCTGTCAGCATGCATCTCTTTGTAATCATACACGTTAGCTTCGTTTAAACTCACTTCTCTTACTTACTTTTGGAATTATAAATTCATTAAGTCTCCTACAATTAAATCTAAATTTTTTGTGCTTTTATTTGTTTTGGTGCTGGGGATTGAGTCCAGAGGCTCATACATACTAGTCAAGCACTCTCCCAGTGAGCTGCAGTCTCAGCCCCTCTTAGTTTCTATTGGTAAATCTCATGTCTTTATTTCTGTAGTTAAGAGCTGTAATCTCAACATACTTATCCATGTTTTGTTCTGAGAATCATAAAACTTAGGCTGGAAAAGCCTAAGAGATCACACAATTGAGTCTAATCCTTACCCCACCTGAAGTGCAAGATTCTCCACAATAGCTTCCCTGCCTGGTGTTCATTCTTTTGCTGGGAAAGGTGGTATCTTTACCTATATAGGTGGCATCTTGTTTGGAGGGATAAATCTTGAAATTCTGTCTCTGATTTTTCTACTCTCTATTCGTAGGTCTTTGCATTATATAATTGCACAAAGTTAGCATTTAATCTGCAGTTGCTCTTCAGGCAGTTAATAATGGTCCTGTGTTACTTTATTTAGTCATCCCCCTTGGGGATTCATATTCTTCTGCTGCCTCTTGAGCAGCCACCTCTTCCAGCACATCTCCTACCAGGTTTACCTGCCCCTGGAGTTACTGTTTGATGAGAATGAGGGCCACAACCACAGCCACAATTGCCATAAAATGCCGCTGAAATAGCCTTTATTAGAATCACTGACAAAGGTATCCGAGGCAGCTGCTTCCTGGTTGCAAATACATTGCATTCATAGTTGAGGCTTCGTGAGACTATTGGTGTGTGGCAATTTGCTGGTGAATTCTAAAGATACAAGTAATAGAGCTTCCTGTCTGAGCAGATGACTTAGCTTCAGTGGAATGGTAAATATGGAACGTATCATAACCTCATTGTTTCCTGATCAGTCTGGAATAACAGAAAGTTAGAAAAGAGGTTGTTAGCTGTGTGAGAAAATGCCTTCATGTAGGGCAGTGGTTGTGAACCTGAGGCACATGTGCCGTGACAGGCTGTTAGCCCTGGAAGCTCTTCTCTGACATAGGGGAAGGACATTAGACATATTAATGAGTCATACACATGCTGTTGGAGTTGTAAGAGGGGAGGGGACAGATAAAGCAAGAATGGCAAAATGTTGATATTTGCTGGGTCTGGGAAATGAGTATATTAACCCGTCCTCCCTGTTGTTGGCTGTGTCTTAAGACTTTAGTACCACAGCGTGTGCCTGTGAGTGAGGCATGGGGCTAATAAGGAAGGGGAACTTCTGTTTGAGGGTGGCTGTCCGGAGAGCTCTCTGTCAGGAGAGGCCTCCCCGACGTGGGCCATTGGGAGATCAGTGTGGTCAGCACCACCAGAGTGTGGGGCGTGGGCACAGCTCCCCCTGTGCTGCTGCCCCAGTGGGACACTCACAACTGCCCACTCCCCACTGTGTTGCAGTACGACCCTCAGTTCGGCGACGCCTTCTGGAACAGCAGCAAGTATGGGATGGTGACATACCTGCTGAGGATGATGACCAGCTGGGCCATCGTCTGCAGTGTCTGGTACCTGCCTCCCATGACCAGAGAGGTAGGTGCTCCAGCCACACAGACATCATTACTGGCTTGCCTGGGGTGTCCGTGAGCCTGGGAGGAGTGGTCTCATTTCATTCGTTCTTTGTGACAGAAAGATGAAGATGCTGTCCAGTTTGCAAACAGGGTGAAGTCTGCCATTGCCAGGCAGGGAGGGCTGGTGGACCTGCTGTGGTGAGTACAGAGCCCCTTAGGAAGGCTGTGCCTCCCTAGGGTAGAGAACAGAGCCTCTGGCTCTGGAGAGGGTGTTGTTCATCTCTTCCCACATCTGACTTGGAAGTGCCCTGCGCTGCCATACCCTTGGGGAACATAGATCAAGCAGTGGATTCTGGGGACTTTCCTAGGATTTGTCTGCCAGTGCACCAGATGCTGTTCATCTGATGATGATCTGGAAACCTCAGAGGAGTGTGAGGCCTCCTCTAATCTTGGTGCATTTGGCAAGTGGGCCATCCTTAGAAAGACAAAGGTTTGTTTGGCTGATTGTTTTTTTTTTGTTTTTTGTTTTCTTTTATTTTAAAAATAAAAGGAAGAAAACATTAACAGACAACCTTTTACAAAATAGCAAAAGGAAAAAATAAAAAAATAGCAAAAGAACAGTACAGACAATACAGAGTTACAAACAAAGTGGGAGGAAATTAAAAATGCTTTTTGTATTACATATTGATATCTTCAAAGTGGTTTCTCATGAAAACAAATACAGAC